CAGATAGATTCTCGTCACAATATTGATAAACAGGTTTGCTCATAATGTTTCACATATCTATATCATTTATGTACTTGCTTCTCTACACTATTCAAATATCTAAACTTCTATACATAAATGGAACCGATAACAGTTATCGGCAGATCTATCTTATGGATTTTTTGCTTATTTTATGAGAACTTTCACTGTTCTTAGTAGCATCAGCAAGTAGTCATGTAATAAAATTTTGTTAGACAACATCAATCAGATATAAAATCAATGTCGATATAGAGTTCTCATCGATCGATCTGACTTACCTACACTGTTTCGATCTCTGCTTCTGTGTATTGAAAGAGAAAAGAGGACACAGAAGTATTTGCTTTTATCAATTATTTCATTTGGATTTGTTTTCTTTGACGATGAAGTTTCTTTTGATTTTAAATTCCTAAAATCTTTTTATGTTTGATTGTATATATTATAGAGTTTGATTAATACTGTCGAAAGACGAAATACATTCGAACAATATTCTTCAAGTTCACAATGTCGATGGAGTTTAGAACAATCAAATGATCAAACATGGCAAGAACAAATTATTTTTATTGTATATTCAATACTTGGCGTATTAGAACGACAAAGTTATTTTTTATCCTTAATTGCAATGCTGGTATAAAAGAAAGAATTCTAACTAATTGGATTTTTGTTTTTTTGAAAATAATGAATTTCTTTAGGCGTGGAGCATAACATTTCATAGTTTATTAACATTAGTTTATCTTCTTTTGGCATGTCTTCTTTGGATATTATCTGATTCTCGAAAATGGTGTTTAAGAATGAGTCCATTTTTTACAATTTATGGTGGAATATTATTAATATTACAATATATAAGTGGTTTTCGAATAAGTTTTAATCAATTAAATTTTGCATATGATCGTCGAACTATGGAACAAATTGGTATTCGTATAGATGATTTTCAACCAGCATTTATTCCATTATTACTTAAAGTATGACATTTTGTATGATAGAATATTTTAATGAATTAATTTTCATCTATTTTAGTCCTTTTATAAGATGTTTTTTTGGTTAACACTTCGACAATATATTAATGAAAAACGACTTGCTAATACAGAAGTAAATGAAGGTAATGATTTATTTATTCATTTCATCAAATTTTGAAAGTAAAAAAACAAAACCAAAGATAAATTTTACTTTTTTTTTTTTTCTTTACTGTTATAGAATTAAGTAAGATGATTTTGATGAGGGAAATAAATCTATGCCTGTGTGTTTGAATAGTTTTCTTGAAATTGATTTGCTCTATTGAGAAAATTTAATTAATTATTATTTCTTTTTTTGTTATTGTAGCTCGTCGAAACAGTATACCAAATGATTCATATCCTCGTCGATTAGGTAGTTATTTGATTTTGGTTTTTTGAAATTAAATTTAGTTTTTTTTTAAAGGACAATGGTTAATTAATTTATTAACAAAATATTGGATATGTGTATCATGTGGTATGCTCTTACTTGTTAGTATTCAAAATACTGTCGTGATCTATCGAATTATTTATATGGTATTTTATTTATTTTTTATTATTTCATTTCAAGTATGATCAATATTCTTAGAGATGAACAAATAAATAATCATATTTATTGTTTTTTTTTAAATTAGATTTCATTTGGATTTTGGCGAAAAACAGCAGCAACATTTTATTTAATCATACTTATTTATTCAATGTTAGTTTTAATTGGAATATATATTTATCAAGTAGAAGATTATTTTAATTATTTTATGAAAAAAAATTTTTGTTGTTCATATTTTTAGTTCGAAAAAGTACATGTATTTTTATCAGAAAAATTTAGTATACAATTGTAAGTTTTCTATATGAAATAATATAGATTTTCTTTTTGTTTGTTTTGCTTTGTAAGATTTGCATCAATTGGACTTGAAGTTGTTCCATCAGATGTTTTAGCACTTAAATTACTTACACCAAGTACATTTCTAGTTGTTAATATAATGCAATTGTATTATTTTCATTCGGGTTGGATGAATTTAATTTCGATGTCAAGGTAATTTTATAATCGAGTCTATTGAAGTGTTTACTTTGATATTATGTTTAATTTATTTTTCTTATCAATAAATGCAAATACAAATTCATAGATGTCTTCCCATTGAAAAAAAGTTATGCTAGAGTTTTGTTTACACTACTTGCAGTTATGAATGATCACGTCAATATTTACTATTATAACTTTGATAGTAAAATTAATTCTTTTTTTGTTTTTTTTTTACGTAAACAATAGAGTTGTTAAACATATGAACGAAGTATTAGTGAATTAAAAACAAGTAATGAACCTTCCAGAGAGAGAGAATATTAGAGGTCATGCAAGATGTGTCAAGATCATAGGAAATTATATCGCATATTTCACTAGTACATAAATTGCTAAGTGCAAAACCAGGATAAAAAATGATTGATCCTGCTCATCACTAATGTCAGCAGTGAAATAACAATCTATTGTTTGAATATCGTACTAGTAGCGATTTTTGTTCGATTGAAATTATGTTAGAAAGAATATCTCTATTGTTTTATGCGGGCATAAAATAAAAATTCTTTTCTCAAATTAACTATGACTACACTATCAATATCTACTTTAAACAATCGAAAAGAGGAAAAGAAATGATTGAATCGGTGTTGGCCACGGTATAGCTGAAATCGTGGCCAACAAGCGAATTGTGAATATGGCTCATTGGTAATCAAAGTGTACCAAAAGGAAGAACGAAGCCAATTCACTTTTCTGCCAGAAAACAAAACCCAATTGAACAAACGTTGATGAATAAATACCAATCATACTCAATCATTAGCACACATGCCTGAAGTTAGGTCTAGAGAAAGATGTCGATATTGCAGTACAAGAGCTTGTCCAGTATTTAGTAACATAAAATGCAGTTTTTGTGATGTTTCGCTTTGTGTAAGGAAACAATAAAAATTGTTTTTTGTTATTTCATGAAAAATTTGTATAAGTTTTGCAATTAATAAACTTTACAATTAAAAGCGCTATTCAAGTATAATAAAATTCAATAGAACTTACATTGAATAAATCACATAAGAACTCGCGAGATATTTATATAATGTGTTTCTATGTCTAGAATGAGCTTATCTAACAGTTTACTTAAATTTAATCCAGCAAAAATAACGTGGGACTCAAAGGGTTAATGTACACAAATCTGATAGGACTTGGGACCGAATGCAGTTCAAATTTGGCCTCTTTCCCTTGATTTACCCTAAGAACATCGTTTTTCCTATAACTTGATTTCTATTGGTCACTGCTTAACCAATAGTATTTCGATGGAAGTGGAGTACAGATTCGAATTCCCCACCCCAGAAAACCTCGAAGCATTGTCACTGTGATCAGAAGATAGAGCTCTAAACGTGAATCAATTAGGGTGTGCACAAAAATATAACCTAGTTCTCTTTAATTATCTTTGTCATAGATGAGTGAACCTTCTTGTTGCTTTATGTTTTATATACCATTTTGTACCTCTTGAAATTCTCTATCGAATGGTATATAATAGTGGGGCGTTTAGTTGACTATGAGAGGAAAAGTTGTTTACGAAAGCGGGAATGAATCTATCTTTTAATAGGGAGGGTATAGGGAAAAATGAGTATTTTTGCAATAACTCAGGAAGGGCTTGGCCAATCCTTCTTATCTTCGAACTCGACCGAGATATTCTAAAGGCTGAACTGTGTAGAAAATTTCATCGCGATCTGACTCTCCTTTCAAAAGTTATCATGTAAACGGACGGACGGACGGCCGGACACACTGACCGATTCTAGAGTGTACTCACTTTTTGAATACACAAAAATACGCTGAAATCTAATTTTTTTTTTTATTATGATTTTAAATGTAACACTGAGAGGTGCTTACATAATGATATAAAGAGGGATTATGATGTTCAAAGATGGATCGATAAAAAACATGCCCTGATTTTTACAGTTGTCATCAATATCATTATACCGAACGAAAAAAAGGCATAGAAAAGTTAAAAATTTGAGAAGAAACAAATGAAGGAAAGAAGGTCGAAGCGAAGGAGAGTGCTCATGCGACTGTCAATGCCAGAAAAAAGAAAAAGGAGAAGAAAGGAAGAATGTTTTTGCATGCTCTTTTCTTTGTGTAAAATTATTTGATTTCAATAAATTATAACCATTTTAAGACAAGTAATTCATGTTTTTCTATCAATTGTTTTACACAATTACTACGAAAAACCTAATCACGATGATTCTTCTTTCTTTCGTGAAAATCATTCCGAAGAATAATATCATTAAAGAAGAGTAAACGACCAAAATCTATTGTGCATATACATTTTAATCTGCTCGAAATGTAGTACTTAACGTAAACTTTTAATAAATGTTCATTAGTCATAGTATATGGATTACGAGTTAAAACAAAGAAGCAATGATGTACCAGTCGAAGGCCAACACAGAATTTCTTCTGTAATAGCTATTGCTATGACTTAGGAAACACCTAGAAGAAAGGAAATACCCATGAAAAATGAGGAAATGTATATGTGAAAAAAAAAAGATTGCCTAAGTGCCTCGGTGGAGATGAAACGTTTTGCTCTTAACTATCTAAGTTTTTTTTTCGAGAGTTTCTGAATGTTTCTTAGACATCTATCAATGGTTGATTTCACGGATCATTTATTTGGTTCATATAAATCGTAGATATTTAAATTCATTTACTAATTTGATTGTTTTATGCATTCATTTCTATTTGTATAAGAAACAATTGTATCACTATTCTTGACAGATTAATAGATTTTTTTTTCATTTTTTCAAGTACCCAAATATTAGGTCATCGGTGCTAGTTTTATTGAGGTAGGCGATTTTGAGATAACATAAAAATCATCTGCAAAAATATGACTTGAATGAATTTCGATACATTCAACTAAATCATAATGGAACTCAATAAATAGGTAAGGGCAAAGACCAATATCATTCGGTAGTTCGATGTTTTTATAAAAATTTTCCGATGGCTTACTCCAAACACTACATATACCTATCTATTTTTTATAGAAAATACAATCATTTTCAACATATTAAGAGATATCTCTGCCTTTATAGTTTAATCAAAAGAGTTATATGACTACATGATCATAGGCCTTCTGATGATCTACATAGATAGTTATTGTCTATATATTGGCAGCTATACTGATTTTACTTCTTGATAAATTGGCAAAACTGTTGTAAGTAGAAGACATCTTGAACGAAATCCTGATTGTTCTACTGGCACTACAAGGTCCATTTATACCAGGTACACGAAATATTATTGATAATATGTTTCAAGATGGCGTTGCTTTCAATTTATATCTATTTTAGTAAATATTGACACAAATACCAAATATACATGGTGAATGTGTTTCTTCTTGGCCAGAACGCATTTCATCGTTCTCACTTATACATCTCTTTCAGACTATAATAAAAATAATTTAATTCAAAGACTAATACTTTTCAATGTCAACCAACATTTGAATGGTTTTCTTAATATTTCACATCAAATGCAACACAAACAACTTAATATCATACAATTCTTTGCCTATGATATCTATTATCAGCGAATAACGTATCAATTTAACATCTAAACATTTAAGAAACTTCTTCTATATAAAGCAGAGCTCATATTTGTTCAAGTATTCGAAAAATTACAAATGGAAAGACCTGTCTCTTGATGCAAAATTCTTTAAAAAGAAAATATTTACGTTAAATATTAATATGACTAAGTGTTATATAAAAAAATATTTATTTTCGAAATGTCAACTAGCAAAATATATCTTTTTAGAAATTAATTACCAAAACAGATGCATTATTTCACTTGTTGACATTTAATCGAAAGCGGAAAATTAAAACACTATGTTGAAATGACAAAAAATTGTGTTAGAAAAAAGAATATCATTTTTTATTATTTATAACGTGAAAAAAAGATCAACAAATAAAAATCTTGACTTTTAAAGTCTTTAACAATCATCTTATTATATTAACAACAAAAATACATTATAGAAATCTAAGTTTTCTTTTACATGTAAACAATTACAAGTATCAGATAAAGATAGTCATGATGAAATTTCTTGAGTAAATAAATTGAATTGAGAAAAAAAATGAATTTATCAAAATTCATGTATATGGAAAAGATGCATTAAGTTCTTTGGTAATTCAATAATGAATTAAATGTTGTAGACGAATGTTAATCTGAAACAAATAAATCGTGTGAACATTATGCTGATTGAAGTATTTTTGCAATTGTAAAATTAGGCAACAGATAAGAGAATGTGAATGTAGGAAAGGATAAAAGCTCAAATTTAAACAAAAGAAAAGAAAACACGAGTTTTGTGTATTCAGATTTAATTCAAAATTATGTCCTAGAACTATT